CGTCTCTCCTTAAACTCAAAGAGGGCACCCCCCCTCTCCGCGTTGCCTGAGCTTAAGAGAAAGGGAGATCTGTTGTCCTCAAGAGAAAGAGACCTGGAAATATAAACACAAATGCAGTATAATGTGATCCTTTATTGACAACGTTTCACCCACACAGTGGGCTTTCTCAAGTCCCCACGGATCTACCTGGGTTGGAAGGTACGAGAGTATTTATAGTCAGAATGTTGAGGTCAGGTGAAGAATGCTGCATCTGATGATCTACCGGGTGGGGTTATAGAGTCTTGGGTAGCTTGGCAGGGGTATTGGACAAGTTGTAGACCTTCTGCAGTGTTCTATGTTCTTATGTGGGATAGCGATGAAGAAGTTTCTTGGCGAGTGGTTCAGCTATGTTATAAAGCCATTGTTCTGGTTGAAATTGTTGGTTATAGAGATAAGCGATGATTCCAGGATTCTTCTGTATTGAGTGTTGTCTTCTGTGGCTATAAGTCTTGAGTTTCTGTAGTTATATTAAATGGTTGTGTGAATTGCGATGCTGTACACAGGCATTCCTTGTATCGTCAGTCCTGCTTGCATATTGGTGTTCTGAAATGCGTGTTTGGAGGTTCTTGATGTTTTGCCCACATATAATTTGTTGCAGTCATTACAGGGATTATGTATACCCCTGTAGAGGATGGAGCTTGTCCTGTCTACTACTGGTGATGTCCTTGATGGTCGTGGTTGTGGAGGTAGATACTAGGAATGATGTTTTGGCAAAGATGTTGGAAACATGTTTGGCAATGGAGTTGTTGGGGAGGACTATGTATCTCTTCTCGGCAGTGTCTTCTCTGGGTGTGTTGAAGATGTTTAATGCCCGCCGTCTGCAGTCTCTGATGAAGTGACTAGGATATGTGGAGTTTGGAAAATACTTGTTCAATTATAGTGCATTCTTCCTCAAGGAACTCATTGCTGCTGACTCTGAGTGCACGTAGGAAGAAGCCTATAATCACACCACGTTTGGTTTTGGTGTCGTGGTGAGAGTAGAAGTGGAGAAGATCGTTTTGGTTGGTGGGTTTTCGATAGACTTTAAAACGAAGTTCGTGGTCAGCTTTGCAGAGCAGAACATCAAGGAAAGGAAGAGTGTTGTCGACTTCTTCTTCAAGTGTGAACTGGATTGAAAGGCTCGACCTGGTTGAGCTTGTCTTGGAGAGCTTGAACGTTGAAGCGTTTAGGAGTTATGAGGAGAATGTCGTCAACATAACGGAGCCAGGTGACAGACGAAGGAATAATGGTGGAGAAACGTTCGGCTTCTAGATGTTCCATGTATAAGTTCGCCAGGACTGCACTGAGTGGCGAACCCATGGGTAGTCCAAAAGTCTGCTGAAAGAGGTGATTTTCGAAGGAGAAACATGTAAAGCCAACACATAGTTCAACAAGGTCGATGAAATCGCTGGCTGGAATGGGAAGATCAATGCTACAAAGGAAGCTTTTCTCCAAGCCAGAACACTAGGCACAACACTCCGGGGCAACATGAACAGACGCACCGCCGAAATCATTCGCAGCAGAGTTACCACAGCGAATGTTCAACAGAAGATCAGACTTACTAGAAAACTACAAACACTCTGCGATAATAGTAATTGGAAAAGTTTAGGAAGACCTGAAATTATTCAAAATCTTTCATCTCGTCCACTGTCAACCACAGAAACTGAAGCCCTCAGCTTAGGCCTCAAATTCGCAACAGGAATTACGAAACCAAAACAAGACCTCAATTTCATCGCCAAAAACTACAGACACAATGACTCCGACTTCCAAAAAGGCTATCTTCAAGGCATCATCTCAGCAGCCATCTCAACACACAGCTCCTCAGTCATACCTCGACGTTACATCAATGCACTCAAAGGTTTAGCAGAAGACACGACCATCAGGGTCACCACCGCTGATAAAGGAGGTGGTGTTGTCATCATGAACACTGACGATTACAGGAACAAAATGCTCAATCTACTTAATGACCCAGATACCTACAAACCTCTCACAACTAACCAAGTGGACAACCTTACTAAAACTTTTCTTCAAAGGACTCGCCGCCATTCTGAGGGCTCAGAACAAGGGAAGAAACTTCTGCACACCATGCCCAGCAACCCCAGACCTGCCAGAATGTATGGCCTGCCAAAGACTCACAAGCCTGGTATCCCATTGACGCCCATATCCTCGGGAATAGGTAGTGCTCCCCACCAGCTCTCAGGAATTCTCGCCAAACACCTCTCTAAACTCTTGGGCACTATCAGTCCAGCACATCTCAAACACTCGGGTGATCTTCTCAATCGCATTCGCAACATCAACATCAGGAACAAGAAACTTTCCAGCCTTGACGTGACTTCCCTATTCACCAAAGTACCTACTACACAAGCCATCGATCTCTTGCGCAGGAAAATTGACGATTCACTTGATCTTCCCATTCCAGCCAGCGATTTCATCGACCTTGTTGAACTATGTGTTGGCTTTACATGTTTCTCCTTCGAAAACCACCTCTTTCAGCAACTTTTGGACTACCCATGGGTTCGCCACTCAGTGCAGTCCTGGCGAACTTATACAGGAACATCTAGAAGCCGAACGTTTCTCCACCATTATTCCTTCGTCTGTCACCTGGCTCCGTTATGTTGACGACATTCTCCTCATAACTCCTAAACGCTTCAACGTTCAAGCTCTCCAAGACAAGCTCAACCAGGTCGAGCCTTCAATCCAGTTCACACTTGAAGAAGAAGTCGACAACACTCTTCCTTTCCTTGATGTTCTGCTCTGCAAAGCTGACCACGAACTTCGTTTTAAAGTCTATCGAAAACCCACCAACCAAAACGATCTTCTCCACTTCTACTCTCACCACGACACCAAAACCAAACGTGGTGTGATTATAGGCTTCTTCCTACGTGCACTCAGAGTCTGCAGCAATGAGTTCCTTGAGGAAGAATGCACTATAATTGAACAAGTATTTTCCAAACTCCACTATCCTAGTCACTTCATCAGAGACTGCAGACGGCGGGCATTAAACATCTTCAACACGCCCAGAGAAGACACTGCCGAGAAGAGATACATAGTCCTCCCCAACAACTCCATTGCCAAACATGTTTCCAACATCTTTGCCAAAACATCATTCCTAGTATCTACCTCCACAACCACGACCATCAAGGACATCACCAGTAGTAGACAGGACAAGCCTCCATCCTCTGCAGGGGTATACATAATCCCTTGTAATGACTGCAACAAATTATATGTGGGCGAAACATCAAGAGACCTCCAAACACGCATTTCAGAACACCAATATGCAAGCAGGACTGACGATACAAGGAATGCCTGTGTACAGCATCGCAATTCACACAACCATTTAATTAACTACAGAAACTCAAGACTTATAGCCACAGAAGACAACACTCAATACAGAAGAATCCTGGAATCATCGCTTATCTCTATAACCAACAATTTTAACCAGAACAATGGCTTCTATAACATAGCTGAACCACTCGCCAAGAAACTTCTTCATCGCTATCCCACATAAGAACATAGAACACTGCAGAAGGTCTACAACTTGTCCAATACCCCTGTCAAGCTACCCAAGACTATAACCCCACCCGGAAGATCATCAGATGCAGCATTCTTCACCTGACCTCAACATTCTGACTATAAATACTCTCGTACCTTCCAACCCCAGGTAGATCCGTGTGTGACTTGAGAAAGCCCACTGTGTGGGTGAAACGTTGTCAATAAAGGATCACATTATACTGCATTTGTGTTTATATTTCCATTGTGTCGGTATTTTATACCATTTATTACCAGAAAGAGACCTCTTACACTATGGCGGTCTTCCATCTCCGCCTCCACGGCTCTTATTCCAGGTAATATAGTCAGCACTAAGCGCTAAACCCACCAGAGTCATACAGCACTGCTTGGTAAAGGTTAACAATTTTCTTTACAAATTTGGACCTCATGGGTTTTATTGTATCATTTTGGCATGACTTTAAAAACGTCTTGAACCTTAGAAAACATTTTGTATGAAACTAATACTGTCGTCCACAGAACTATGTTGAAAGTGTTCTTATGGACACTAAACTTGTATGTTCTGAGAGCTGAGAATACTAAAGATGGCAGTTATTAAAGACTGTCTCCTCTAGTTTATAAGACAATTACGGAACCAAGTTTTTTTTGTTTCACTCGGCAAATTATAATCATGGGGAGCGCTAAACCCGTAGGATTATACAACGCTCATGGGGGGGATGGAAGGTAATCAGGCTCAATTCAGGGAACCACAGCACAGATCCAATTCCCTAGATCAATAGCCCCCCGCCAGCATCGAGGAGCCTCCCTTGAGGGAGATTCACTCGACAAAACTGGCTCATATCATGCTGGAAGTCTTAACTTCCAGTCTGGTGGAATGTGAGTTAGGAACAATAAGATAAGCTAGTGCTAAAAGTTATCGCATGGAAACCAATGATTCCAAGTTTATTAATTATTATTATAATCATCCAAGTTTATTAAACAATGTAATATACTGGGAAATTTGTATTAACCCTAAAGTTATGGGGTACCATTCTTAAAACATCAGCTGCTCTGTATAACCCTTGTGGCTTAGCGCTTCTTTTTGATTATACTAATTAAAACATCAGCTATTATTTATACAAGCCATACAGATGAGAGATTGTTATTACAATAATATTTACACTCCCAACCTTCTTCAAAGAGAAATAAAGTAGTAGTCACATTTATTTTTCATAACATTACATGTTGTTACATAATACATGGAAAAGCCAACACTTATACAATGGATTTCAGGAAGACTTGAGGTTAAACATATATTAAGGTAGATATAGAATAGGACTGTTACTTAAATGTTCATGAAAATTAAATGAAGTTTTATGGAGTTAAGAGAAGTACAATGATTGTTCTAGGTAATATTATTATTATTATAATCAAAAAGAAGCGCTAAGCCACAAGGGCTATACAGCGTTCTAGGTAATAACTTAAGTTTTAAAACATAGAGACAAGAAATTTGAGTACAATGACATTTAAAGTTATAATTCATGCAATAACTTGTTACAAATTATATATATTTAATAAATTAAGTGCAACTCTGATTTGTGTAAAAACACTTCGAGTGCTACATGAGCTGGTGCACCAGTGTTGATAGTATGAAACTCAACAGCAGAGGCTTTCACAAGTTGTCACACAGATGCCAAGACTGGGAACTGTTTATATAGCACTTACCAAAGGTACTTGCTCAAGCCCATAACGGCATGAGCCTTTTCCTAGCTACAGTCCACGAGTGTTGAAAATTTAAAGTTGATCTCATGAGACTCTCAGGTTATAAATGAAAACCCTGGAGGATGTGAAAATTTCAAGCAATCACTGTAAAATACCCTTTTGGGGATGCCTAAGAAGTAAAATGAAAAAAAGGCGTGAGTAGCTAGTCCAGGCTGGGATGGGACTAGGAGTGTGTAGCCGAGGTCTTGAAGTGCAATGCACGCCTCTTCAGGTCTTTGACGTGGACGTGGCTGTCAGTGGTACTTTCCTCGGGGTTGCTGTCGAGGTTGTCAACAGTGGTTTCCTCAGGGTCACTGACGTTAATAGTGTTACTTTCCAAGGGGTCTATTTCTGGGGACTGAACACAGTTTGTTGCGTATGGCCCAATACATGCAGAGAGGGCCATGACATGGGCCACGTAGGTCTGCTCATGTGTGCGATGGAATAAGTGGCTCATGGGACCTATGGAACGGTAAAGAAATGAAACGATTATATTAGGACAGATGGTCTCCCATTCTCAAAATATCCTAATATTTTTGAAAATATCTGTAGTATATCGGATATGAAAACATACGACAGACAAATACATAATCTAGAAACTCGGTATTTACAAAATACAACTGAACCTGTTGGGGTTTGTGATAACTATGACAAACATGATAAACAGATTTCATACAAACTTGATTCACAATTTACATACTTTTAATTGGTTATATAAAAAGATGATTTTGGAAAGATACATACAAGCACAGTTCAAGAATTATTTTTACAAATACTGTTCAAAATGGTTATATACACACGTGGTTCAGACATGTTACAGTGCTCGATACAGTGAACTACTGGTCAAAATAGACGATATATATAGCTTTTACATGTAATAAACAAATAAAGCACAACATGTAAAACATACAAAGTAAGAGCACATTTTAAATGTCACAAGCAAAGTAATGGCTGGTGATTTGGTCCCTCAAACCCCAGCAGTTACCACAAAAGTATTGCACTGTATCACACACAGCTCACTCGTGGGACTCCTGTGTTCAACCTGTCAGTCACCAGCTCCTACCACACAGTTACAGCTAATATCCTCTTCAAGGGGGGCTCCTTGGCGTGGTGAAGAGGCTCTTGGTCTAAGGAATTAGACCTGTCGGTCTCCTTCCTCAGACCGAACCTAATTACCCCCCAATCCCCCCTTCCCTATCCCATCCTCCCCACCCCTCCCTTTTGCCCTTCCTCTTTTTGGCCTTTGGGATTTTTCCCACAGGCACACTAGTTCATAGGTAGGGGGAAGGGTACTGGGGTCCATCCCATTCCGTTGAGGTTCTTGGCGGTGGCGTAGTTTGCTGTGGGATCTGGATCGCCTGGGGATGTCCCGATCCCTCTCCGGTATCCCGGACGGTGGCTTTCGGGCGATGGGTGTATCTCTGAAAGCCACCTTTCAGATTCCGGGGGTGGTGGCCGAAGGAGGTATCCGGCCACCCTCTCTTTTGTCCACCAAGGTAGCTCGGCAGATGTGAAGTTGCTATCCCAGATTGCTGGTTTACTGGCATGAAGGGTAGGGTATGGCACGGGTTCCATGCTGCATCTGCACTACTTGCGGTGCTGAGGTTCTCTTGGGTGCGGAGGGAGATTTCTGGCCCTTTCATTCCTCCTAGGAACTATCCCTCCCCAGTCCCCCCTTTTTTTATTCTTTTTTTTTTATTTTTTATTTTTTTTATTTTTTTTTCTTAAAAAAAAAGAAAGAAAGAAGTAACCTAACCATGGAGTCCCAAATCCATGACCCCGCTACCCCCGGGCCCCTTTTTGTTACCCACCCTTTTCTGCCCTTTGTTCGTCTTTTGGCCACTTTTTGGGACACTCCAAGGGCCCCCCAGTACCTTTGCTGGTGTTTTTTTTTTCCCTCCCCCACTTCGGGTCCCGGGGCTTCCACGACTCCTTTGGGTTTGTCTGACCTCCGCTTTCCTTTGATATGTTTCCCCCCTCCCCTCTAGGTGCGACGATTTTTCGAATCGCCAGCCCATCTCAGTGGCCCGACTTGGCCCCACTTCTAAAACCCCAAAAACGCAATCTCCTGACGAGTTTTCTTCATTACCTTCCCCTTCTACTCGGAAAAGACCACTCGTCATGCACCCCTCTCCCCAAATATTTTTTGCCACACAAGGACTAAATTCTTTACTTTTGACCTATTCTTCTACTGCCTTCTTTTGACCTAGTATTGGAAAAGGTCCTATGCCATTTGGTAGAGTTTTTTCCTTTCTTCTTTTAAAGAGTGGTCACGATCATCACAGCCCAGAATTCTCCCCAAGTTCAGATTTTTCTTTTTTTTTTTTTCACATATCGAACTATTCCCTTCACTATAAAAAAACACTTCCCCCTCAATTCTATATGGACTGGTATCTCCCCCCATACCATACCCAACAAAATTTTCCGACAGTGGCAATGACATTCCGAACGCTGGAACTCCAGATTTTTCCCCAATTCCAAGGTAACACTTATGTTTTCCCGCCGCGGCAAGACGAAAACCCTTGTAATGTGGCTCGTTTAACTTTTGACACCCGGAATCCCACCCCTTGTTTTTGAGCAGGACATCGGTTACAAGTTCAAAGGGATCCCTACACCGCAACGTGTAGGAATTCTGGCGTTTTGGCCCCCCAGCAAAATATTGGAGAGTATAGCCGAAGCCCGCCCGTGGTGCCGATGACCATTCTAATCATCTTGCAGTTGACCCCTTTTTGCCTTGTCTGGGGGCTCACCTTGACTTTCGCCTTTGGGCCAGTCTACTTAAATGAGCATTAGCGCTTCTTTTTGATTAAAATAAAAATTTCTTAAATAGGGGGAAATTCGTTCCCTCAAAGGGGCAGAAGGTCCTTCTTATTTGGTTTCAAAAGTCCCCCCACTTCTGGGGTCCCATCTTCTGCAGCCTCCTCTGGGGTTGCCAGTCCCATAGTCATCCTGATTAATTCTTTTGTTGTCCGGGGCTCAACACCCTATTCAACACCCAGTCTGTCCTCACTTTTTCGTGTTCTCCCTCAAAAACCCCGGTACGCAAGACCTCGTACGAAAAACCTCCTCCCAATTGCCCCCTCTATTTCTCAAGGGGCCCCACAAATCTCCTTTAACCCCCCCTTTCCCCTTCATCCACCTCCACATTTTACCTTTCCGTCTCTGTACCTAGGTTTTCCCCCCCCTTTCACTTGGCTCTGGTAAAGTGTGGAGGTTCTCCCCTCCTTGTACTGTCCCTTCCCCCCCCTGCCCCCCCCAAGTTTTTTCCCTTTTCCCCACCTCCGGGTTTCTGCCTCTTCGCCCCCCTCCCACATTTCCCCAGTTCCCTCCACCCTTTCGACCCCCCCCCCCCTCCCTTGGTACATCCATTACAGCCCAAATCTTTGCTCAAACTCCCCCATCTCCAAAAGTCTCCCATAGAGTCTCCCGAATTCTGAAACATTGAAGCAATCTTTTAATATATTCAGAGACCAAACATCAATGGACATGACACCCTTGTTTCCCTTTTCTTTCCCTTCCCCTCTGGCAACTCCCTTTCTTCAAAAACCCCTTCCTTCGCTACTTGAACGTTTTTTTTTGCCCCCGCATGTGGGTTTTCTAAAACCCCTTTAGTCCGTAGGGACCCTTTCTTTTCGGGTTTCAGGGACTTTTCGTTGCCAAACGGCCTATTTACAGTGGAAAAATTCGCGGGCCCCGGGTTAAATTGGGGTGAGCTTAGATGTTTTTCTCCCAGTTTTCCCCTGTTGGTGTTTGCTTACAGGAACCAAAATTATACTCTGCCGTTATCTATCTCATCTCAGGCTATAATTTATTGTATTCTTCAAATCCTTTTCCTGATGGGACCTTTAATGAAAGTGCCCTTCTTCTACACACTGATATTCCGTACCATCAGCTATTTGTTCGTACTTCGCTGCATTACACAGCAACCGGTATCCACTTGCATAGGTGGTATACACACTGTTCTTTGTATCTCTCTCCTTCTCGGGCATTATCTATCCCGGATATTGCCTTGTTTCGTCATTACCGCCACCACTTGTTACTTGGCGATTTTAATGCCCATCATTTCCTCTGGGGGGGGTCTCACTGTGATTCCCGTGGCATTCAGTTAGAGGCTTTTCTTGCTAACCACCCCCTCCATGTTTTAAATACAGGTACTCGCACCCATTTTGATCCTCGGACTCATACTCTCTCTTGCATCGATCTCTGTCTGCTCTTCCTCCGCCACATTAGACTTCACCTGGTCTGTTCTCCCAGATTTACATGACAGCGATCATTTCCCAATCATTCTTACTTCCCCTTCATATTCACCACCTCTTCGTAACCAACTCTGGCAATTTGATCAGGCAAATTGGAACCTTTACTCACAACTAACTGTTTTTAGTGAGGTTCCTTCTTTGTCTTCCATTGATGAGCTTTTACACCTCTTCTCGTCCTCCGTTTTAACCGCAGCTTCTCATTCTATACCCCAAACTTTGGAAGGCATTCTCAGAAATGCATGCCTTGGTGGTCTCCTGCTTGTGCTCGTGCAGCACGTTTGAAACGCACTGCGTGGGGCAGGTACCGGTACAATAGAACCACGGAGAGACTTCTTAATTTTAAACAGAAGCGTGCGATCGCTCGCCGTGTCATCCGTGATGCTAAACGCACTTGCTGGTGAGATTATGCCTCCACCATCACCTGAGTAGTAAATATTCTCCTGACCCTGCTCCTGTTCTGCGGGTTGTTGGTGTTGGTATAGCAAACCCACTAGATGTTGCCAATGAAATTGGCAATCATCTGGTCCATATTTCTCAGGGGCTCCATCTATGCCCCTCGTTTCTTTCCATAAAGTCTGCCAGAGAGTTTGCACCCTTGGACTTTTCTTCTCTCAGAGAAGAACAGTATAATGTGCCTTTTACACTTTAGGAACTGGAGGCAACACTCTCAGCTTGCTTATCATCGGCAGCTGGGCCCGACGACATTCATATTCGTATGCTACAACATTTACATCAGTCTGCCCTTGCAGTCCTATTATGCCTTTTCAATCTTATTTGGTCACAAGGAGTTCTTCCACAGCTGTGGAAATCTGCCATTGTTCTCCCTTTCCGCAAACCGGGTACTACGGGACATGAAGCCTCCCACTATCGTCCCATTGCTCTTACCAGTGCAGTTTGCAAAGTGATGGAACGCCTAGTAAATAGATGTTTAGTGTGGTATTTAGAGACACACAACAGTCACTCCACTCGTCAATATGGCTTTCGTAAGGGTCGTTCTACCATATACCCCTTACTAAGCTTGGATACGTATGTTCGTAATGCCTTTGCAAATAACCACTCAGTTATTGCCATATTTTTTGACCTTGAGAAGGCATATGGCACAACTTGGAGGTATAATATTTTGGCCCAAGTCCACTCCTTAGGCCTTCAAGGCAATCTACCATCCTTCCTTAAGAACTTTTTAACTGACAGACTTTTCTGTGTTCG